ATGGCTTACCTCCAGTGAGACGATGGGAAACCCCAAAAGGGCAACCCAAAAGTCCCAAGCCTCCATCCCTCCCTTAGGGAAGTGTGCAAAACGACCCTGTGGTTTGCATTCCCAGAGGGCCTCCAGCCGCAGTCCTGACCGACTTGCACCTCGTGCTCTGACACCCAGGGCCCAGGCCTGGCCGACTGCTAACTTGGCTGACTGCACTGCCGGGCTGTGCTAACTGCACTGGCTCGCCCTGGGGAGTTGGTCTTTGGACCCTGGTTGACTTGCTTTCAGGTCGGGGGGAGGCTGCTTCTGTTGTAGGCAGCTAAATCAGACAGAAATATTATAGACAGTCAGACAGGCAAGGCCCTCAAGGAGACACCAGGGAAGAGACTTGGTAACTGTGAGATGGACACTCCTGCGTCCATCTGTGGCCAGACCTAAAGACAAAAGAGGGAACAAATGCTGACCTCCCTAAAGATAAGCATCAGGGATTGATCATCACCTTGAGGAAGCCAGGGAGAGTCACTAATCCATCCGTTACTGGCTGGCTACTAGATAAACTCCTGCTCTTTTGTTTATTTTTTGGTGGAACCAGGGGTTGAACTCGGGCCCTTGCGCCTGCCAGGCAAGCGCTTATTCTACTGCACCATCTCCCCAGCCCCGAAACTTCTGTTCTATATTCATGCCCGCTTGCTCTGTGACTTCCTTCCCCATTCTGTCCTGAATGTAATCAATTTTACCTGAGCAACGGTGCTTGTAGTCTCATTGGTCACCATAGTTTTGTCCCACCTCATGCCCGCCTAAGCGAGTTCCCACGTTCTCCACCTAGACCTGCCTCACCACATAGTTTTATTCTATGAAGGTCATTGGAAGAGAAAGCTTCCTGGGGCAATGCACTTGAGCCGCCTTCTGTCCCAATCTTGGGCAGAAGCTTTCTTCCCCCCATAAAAATTCTGCTCTTAGCCTCTGTTTATTCCTGAAATTCCTTCTTCAGTTTTAGAGAACGTGAACTCCTCCAGGGTCTTTCAGGTCAGTAGCTTCATTCCCCTATATCACTTCAGACACAGGGGCCTAGCTCTGTCCCTGACTCACTGGGGATGTGTAGGGGCTAGGTCGGCCTCAGCTGCCAGGGACATTTCGGAGCAGCAGCTCCAGCCCCTCCTCAGGTCAGAGCTGGCTGAAGAGAGCAGGGACATTCCAGAGGGACAGGACCAGAGAGAGGCTGGTTTGTCAAGAGCGTATGGTTCATGCATTCTGGGGCTTCCCCCAGAGGGGAATTTTCAAACAGAAGCTGGGCGTGGTGGCACACACCCATAATGCAGCACTTGGTTTTAATTCTTTTATTTTTTATGTATATAGGGTCTCACTCTATAGACTGGACTCATAGTGATTTTCCTGTTTTCAGCTGCCCAAACACTAGGATTACGGTCTCCATCACACCGGCGGCGGAGGCAGCACGGCAAGCTGGGGATCGAACCCCAGCTGGCTGCTGTGCTCTGTCTAAACAGGCACTTTAGTCTGCTGAGCTCTCTGGCCATCCCTAGCATTTGGTTTTAGATGGTTTTCTTTTGGTGATACCAGGGGTTGAACTCAGGACCTTGCACTTGCCAGGCAAGCACTTTTTCCACTGAGCTATCTCCCTGGCCCCATAGTGCAGCACTCAGGAGGCTGAGGCAAGGAGGTGGACATGAGTTTGAAGCCAGGCTGGGCTACACAGGGAGAATCTGTCTCAAGCAAAAAGAAAATAGAAATAGAGCTAAAAGGGCTGGGGCGATCACTCAGTGATTTAAGTAACTGCCTGGCAAGCTCAAGGACCTGGGTTTGATCCCCAGTACTGCATGCTGTGCTGGCCCCAAAACTGGGCGTGGTGGTGCACACCTGTAATCCCAGTGCTGGGGAGGCTGAGACAGGAGGATCACTATGAGTCTGAGCTGGCTAAGGAGACCCTGTACCAAATACATACATAAATGATTTTAAAATTAAAAAAAAAAAGCTGAAATAAAAGGGCCATTACAGGTGTGAGTAATGGCAGAATGAAGAGAGGGTGAATTTCTTTTGCTCTTAGCGGAGGGACAGTGACGTGGGTCATGGGTAGACAAGCTTCTGCTGATTAGTTTTTCTTTTCTTTTCTTTTTTCTTTTCCCCAGGTCCTGAAGATTGAACCCAGAGCCTTTGCACTGAGCTACATCTTCAAGACAAGTTCTCATTGAGATGCTAAGTTACCCAAGCTGGCCCCAAACTTGAGATCCTCCTACTACAGCCTTCTCTATACTGGGATATTGGGAGTGCATTGCTGTGCTCAGATGAGTAGGGTGTGTGTGTGTGCACGCGCGTGTGTGGCATGGTATCCCTGTGGAGCCCAGACTGGTCTTGAATTCATAGAGATTCACCTGCCTCAGCCTCTGAGCTCTGGAAGGACAGGTGCATACCCATGGTGGACATGAAGTTCTCCAGTGGTTACAGGCACTAACAGGGATCCAGATGGTGTCCGTTGGATGGAGCTGGGGCCACACAGCAGCTGATGTCTTCCACAGGAGGCAGGGCAGTCCCAGCGCAGCTCTTTCTGTGCTCCCAAGTGTTCCGCTGACTGGCTTGACAAAGCTCTAGGGTGCTTCCTCTTAGGGCAAACACCTTGGGGAAATTGGAGAAAATTCCAGAACAAATCATTTTGTTCTACTTGAACTATTTTTGAGAAATGAGTAAGAGGTGTCCTGTGTCCCCAGTTCACTTCTGCTTCTCTGGGGCAGCCTGGGAGCAGGTGCCCTCAGAGGGCAACAAGTCACCAGAATGCCATCCCAAGAGGACCACTGGTTTAAAAAATGAGGGCCAAGCAAGTCACTCCAGCAGTCAGGAGGCCGAAGCAGGCCAGCCTGAACGACACAGTGAGACTCTGCCTCTGAAACAAAACAAAACAAATTGTTTCATCCTGTTCCAAACAAGAATTTCCCCTGGAATTTGGTTACATCATTTCTACAACGGCATGAGCCAAGTGAGGTTAAGGTCTGGTTCTTAGTTCCTTTGGGCAAGGACAGATTTTTTTTTTTTTTTTTTTTTTTTTTGTATTGGGGATTGAACCCAGGGCCTTTGCGCCTAGCTGCATCTACTGCCATTTTTAATTCTTTTTATTTTGAAATGATCTTGCAAAGCAGCTAAATAACTCAGGCTGGGCTCAAGCCTTCAATCCTCTTGCCTCAGCCTCCCTGAAAGGCTTGGATCCTAGGCATCCTGTTGTCTACATCTTTAAAAATAAATACATTCCTTCTAATTTTAAGACAGCCTGACTCAGAAATGCAACTGAGCTAGTGCTGGATTTTTTTTTTTTTTTATGAGCTAAAGGCAAACTATTCAATTCAATGAACAACCTGTGTAATATATGTGCTATATATATTTAAAAGTCATGAATTGAAAACAGTCGATCAAAACTGAATAGTCTCATATACGACACAATTTCTCAAATTGTTGTCGATGTAAAAATTAGCCTGAAAATACTTGAACCTTTATAACTGTTCCCGCATCGCAGCCCGGCAGATGACCAAGTCTCACTTGACCCTTCTGCATGTCTCCTGCTTGGTTCCAGCACCACCCGTCCCTTCCCTCCTCAGCCCTCTTGGTTCTAAGTCCTGATGCGCCGCTTTCTCCTTCTTGTAGATTTTGCACACTGAGTATATAAATGTTGGTTTTGCAAAAAATATCTAAGCCTGGTGTTGCTTTTCTTATCCTCTCCGGAAAGGCTGCGCATGTGCTGCCCTTGTGGTGAAGGGTTATTTCGAAGCCCGGGTGCAGTGACCCGCTGCGGCCTGACATCTGCATCCCCTTTGCTTCTTCCTGCAGCGCTGGGGAACCCCTCCCCACCTCCCCTTCTGGCTTTATTTGGACTCGAGAGTTGTAAGAATGGAAAAGAAGTGGGGAAACCTGCAGATGGAGGGCCCCGTGATAAGGACCCCAGACTGCACGATGCTCCCTGGGGACCCCGGCCCTGTCACCCCAGAGCCGCAGGCTGGAGGCTGGAGGCTGGAGGCAGGGCCAGTAAACCCCCAGCAGCTGCAGAAGCTCCCTGGACTAGGTGAATCCTGGCGGGAATCCAAGGAAAGGTCAAAGTGAGCTTCACCTGCAGCCCTTGGGTTTCAGAAAGGGGCCCGTGCAGGAGCGCAGGGCGCGCGGGTAGGGGCATCTTCGTCCGAATGGCCCTCCCACGGGAGCACCGGGAAAGCAGGTCCACGCGCCCGCCGGGGATTTGGCTGCTCCCGGGTCCCCAACGCTGCTCTCGTGCTGTGTCGCCGAAGACCTCTAAGGCTGGCGCAGGTTGGACGCCGTGCAGGTCGGTGGGAAGGGGGGACAGAGCGCCCTGGAGAATGGGCTGGCTCCACCTTGGGCCTCCAAGAAGGGCTGTCCACAGGAGTCCCGCCGCGGGAACCCTCCTCCCAAAGAGAGGCTGGGACAATCCTGTGCCCCGCCCCGGAGAGCGGGGGGCGCGGGGCAGGACCATCGCGGGCTACTGGGTCACCCTCGGCCGGGCGCCGTGTCTTCTCCCGGAGTTTTCCAAACACTTCCGCACAATTGCTCTTTTCTTTAATCAGTTATTATTATTTTGGTAGAGTTTCACTATTCAAATGGCCCAGGGTGACCCCGAACTCACGGCGTTCCTCCTGCCTCTGCCTCCCGCAGGCTGGGATTACACCCCGGCGTCCTCACGCTCCTCTTCTCAGATTTCGCTCGGGTCTCAGGCTCTGCGGCGCCCTTCCTCCCCGCGGCGAGCCGGGCCGGGGGCCCGCCGTCCCGGCCCTCGAAGCCCCGCCCCGAAGCCCCGCCAACCGAAACCACGCCCACAAGCCTCTCCTTCCGCACGCCCCGGCCCGAAGTCCCGCCAATCGAAACTCCGCCCCAGAAAGCTCCGCCCCCATGAAGCCCCGCCCCCTCGAAGCCCCGCCCCCAGAAAGCTCCGCCCAGCGGGCGCAGCCGCGGGCGCTCCGCTCAGCCCCGAGACGCTGTGCGCGGTAGGGGACGTGCGGCCGAGCGCCGGGACCTCGGCTCCGGCCCCGGGATGGTGCTCCTGGCGGCGCCCGGGCCCGATGGGGACGGAGGGGCGCGCTGCCTGTCCCCGTCCCCGTCCCCAGCCCGGGACGCGCAGGCGGACGAGGACCCAGCCGACGACGGCGAGGACTTCGAGGACTTCGCCTGCCTGCCCGGTGCCCGCAGCGTGGCCGCGGACGACGGCTTCTACCCGCCGGGGCGCGGCGAAGAGCGGGGCGCCGCTGAGCGAGAAGGCACCCCCGAGCCCGTCCCGGTGCCCGCGGGCGCCACTCTGCTGCGTGCAGCCGGCGCCAACGACGCGGGGCTGTTGCGGGCGCTGGCGCGGCGCGGGCTGAGCGCCGAGGAGGTGCGGGAAACCGATCGCAACGGCCGGGTAAGGGCCCGCGGGGACCCTCGGGGTCGGGCCGGGCCGGGGTTCGTGCGGGGTCCCTCGCCCAGTCCCCGTCCCCTGGCCCCTCGCCCTCACCGGCGGGGACGACCCCTGCCGCCCGCGCCCTTCCGCGCGTCGCGCCGCAGCGCCTTCCCTCGCTCTGTCCCCAGCAAGCCAGTGTCCAGTCTCGGGCAGGGAACGGTGTCCCCAGGCGGTGTGGGGGGCGAAGGAGAAGCCAGCTGCGTTTAGCAGAGCGGAGGGAGCTGAGGCCACGGAGCGCACTCAGGACCCCGCGCGCCGGGGCCGCGCAGGTGAGCGGTGCCCGAGCCTCTGTCCCGGAGCGGCGCGCAGCGGCTCTGCCGGTCACCGCGTTGCCTGGAGTACCCGCTGTCTGCAGGCTCGCCTGGCACGAGTCGGGGCGCGTCTTGTTGGCGGGGAGGAAGTCGTGCTTTTCATTTGGGGACCCGGCTTGTGACTTTGAGACTTCCGCGGGGCTGGCTGCCCCTCTGTCCCCGACTGCGTTCCTCTGAGCTAGGCACCTAGGACGCCGGCGCGAGCGTGGCTTCCCGCTCGTGTAACGGGCACGACTGCGTTTGGACTTGGAGCAAGTCTGTGCGTGGGACCGGGTCAGGCCCTGGGGGAGGGGCGTGCCCGAGGGCAGCACCCTCTACGCCTGCAGCTTGGGTGGCTGCTCGGCACTCCGCAGCCCTTGTCTTCTGTCCCAGGGCAGGGCTTTCCTCGGAGCTTTTCCAGTTTCTTGAGTGTTCTGTGTGGGGTCCGACGTCCCCACCAGAAACGTTCCTGATGAGGTGACCCAAGGCAGGTGTGGATCACAGGGCGACTCTCTGTCCCATGCCCCCACGCCCTTCGGTCTCTTGACCTCCGTCCTGAGCACGCAGGGCACAGCCTGCCACGTCGCCCTTGGAGAACCGAAGTTTACAGGTGGCGGGAAGGCTGTTGGCACCTGGACCTGGGTCTCCAGACCCCGTGAGAGCCCCAGGCAGTTGAACTGTGGCTGCCTCCCCCCCCCCCCAGCGCCTCACATGTCCTGTTTGTAAAGCAGGGACAGTGATGGGCTGGTGCTGCCTCCACCTGCGGCTCTGGGATCCGTGGCACCCTGGCGCCTGGGGACCCCTTGTCCCACTCGCCTGCTAGCCCTGGTTTGGAGAGGACAGCGCCTTCAGCTTTGCGGATTTCCTATGCCGAGCACAGACGTCGCCCCCTTCTTTTCTTCTCTGAGATTATGAAAGTGGAGAGGTGGAGTCTTTTCGTTTGTCTCCTTTTAGTCCCCTCCTCTTTTGACCCTGGAGCGGTGCCCGCGACTAACAGCACGGCCCTGGGCCCTCGGTCTCCACTCTGAGCCATAGATTCACCCTGCCTAGAGGCCAGAGAATCAGGTGTGGCCTCATGCAGGGGTGAGACTGAGTAGGAAACTAGCTCTGAGCCAGAAGGAAAGCAATTCTTGCAAGCCACCTGGTGGCACACGCGTGTCATCCCTGTATTTTTGTAGGCTGAGGCTGGAGGATCCCATGATCAAACCCAGCCTGGACATTTCATTTTATTTTGTTTTTGAAAATTTCACATGTGAACATATTTTTTTGTTGAGCATACATACACTCCTCAATCCCCATTTGGCAGTAACTATCACATCTTGTAAAAGGGGCAAGACTTGTAAGATGCCTCTTAAATATTTTTAATAAAATAATAAAACTTCAAAGCTAGGCATGGTGGTACATACTCAGTTACTTGTCTCTCGTTGCTGGGACAAATACCCCATACTCAAAATGAAGGAAGGGAAGGTTTATTTAGCTCCCAGTTACTGGAGGTTTCATAGTTTAAAAGCCTGAATTACGTAGTAAGACCTCTGAGCCTTATTTGCTCAGGAGAGAGGTCAGTGCCTCCGCCTTCCTCAAACATCTCTTTACCCAGATGATCTCAATTGCAGACACCACTGTCCTGCGCTACAGGGTTTGCAGTGTCCAGGATGACCAGCTGCACACCTCAGAGAAGCCACAGGCAGAGGGTGGGAGGATGACCGTGCTCCACCCAGTTTAACGGTTTGTGCCTCTGGCCCCGCCCCTCGAGCTCCACCCTGGTCCTCTGGCCTCGCCCCTCAGCCTATGCTGCTCCTCCAGCTGCGTGAGCCCCACGATTTACAGGAGGCTTTGGGGAAAGTTAGACGCAAGCCAAAACATACCTGTAATCCCAGCACTTGGCAGGCTGAGGTAGTAGGTCTCTGAGTTTGAGGTCAGCCTGGGTTACAAAAGTGTGTTCAAGACCAGCCTGCACTACATAGCAAGACCCTGTCTCAAAACCTTTTCTTTTTTTCTTTGTTGGAACTGGGGATTGAACTCAGGTCCTTGTGCTTGCCAGGCAAGCGCTTATTCTACTGAGCCATCTCCTTAGCCCCATAACCAACCAACATTTAAAATGCATGTTCTTTACATTACACAGTACCTTGAGAATAAAGGTGGAATTTTACTGTGACCATGAAATATACATGAAGTGCAAAGAGAAAGAGGCTCTTAGTTGTTTTTTTGGGTTTTTTCTTTTTGGTTTGTTTTTTATTTTTGTACTGGGAATCAAGCTGAGGACCTTGCACTTGCCAGGGAGGTGCTGTGCCCCTGAGCTCTATGCTTGGTCCAGAGGAGACTGTTAAAGATAAAATACAGCGGGGCGTGAAGGTGCACACCTGTAGTCCTAGCACTTGGGGGACTGAGGCAGGAGGATCATGGGGAGTTCGAGAGTTAGAGAACAGCCTGAACTACAAAGTGAGCTCAAGGCCAGCCTGAACTGAACAACAAGACCCTGTTTCAAAAACTTAAAAAAAAAAAAAAAAAAGGCAAAATACAGTAAATACACTGACTGGCCACATTCTCTGAAATGTGCCGTGTGTTAGACACTGTTTTGTGTCTTGTTGCAGGCCGGCCCAGCCTGAGCATTTTAGTGACACCCTGCCTTGAAATAAAAAAGGATGGATGAATGAATGCGGAGAAGGCGGGGTTGTGTCTCGGCAGTGAAGGCCTGGGTTCAGCCCTCAGCGCCTCAGGAACCACCTCTTGTCAGTGTTTATTCATTGCACTCTTCGGTGTTCTGGGACAAGGTCTCACCATGAGCCCAGGCTGGCCTTGAAAGCCCTCTTGCGGCCTCAGCCTCTCAAGCTCTGAGATTGCAGGGGCGTGACTGTGGGAGGTGCCTGCGCATGTGTGCGTGTCCGTCCGCATGCGCATGCGCATGCATGTACGGGGAGAGCCCACCTGGTGGTGACAGGCCCCTGCACCCCTGTAGCTGGCCTGGGAGCAGGAGAGGAACCAGGCTGAGGCAGAGGGCCACACGCTGCCCCTCAGCGCAGCTTCCGTGGAAGGCGCCCTCTTCTCCCCCGGCCCTCAAGGGGTCAGGCTGGCTTTGGACACTGTGTCTACCTTTGCCGGTTCTGGCTACCTCTGCGTTCATCAGGCCCACGTGGCCATGGCTGCAGGAAAACCAACCCCATTTTCCCTCTTGGTCCCTCACACTAGCTTCTGTTTTTATGCAAAACCACCCCATTTTTTCTATTTTACAATTTAATATTGTAGGGGACTTAGGAGATAGCTCAGTGGTCTAAGCGCCTGCCTGGCAAGAACAAGGACCTGGGTTTGATCCTCGGCACCACATGCTGTCTGGCCCCTGGTGGTGCGCACCTGTAATCCCAGTGCTGGGGAGGCTGAGACAGGAGGATCACTCTGAGTCTGCACCCTGTACCAAATGCATAAATAAATAAATAAATAATGAAAACAAAACAAAAACAATTTAATGTTGTAAAATTGTTGTAGAACTCTAGTTTTTGGTACTGATGCTTTTAAGAGGAGCCACTGAGCTGCAGCACCAGCCCTTTAAAAATGTTATATTTTGATACAATGTTTCCCTAAGCAGGCCAGGTTAGATTTGAACTTGTGATCATCCTGACTCGGCCTCTCAATAAGCTGGTGTCACACGCACAGGCAGCTGTGCCCTGCAGGAGCTCTCTTTCTAATCTTGGCTGTATCCATTGTATTTTTATTCTTTTTGTCCCTGTATTTTTGAATTTGTGCTATTTCTCTCCTTTATGGAGAGAAAATACAGTCAAACATATCTAATTTTAGGGCTGGGATATAGCTCAGCAGCATAAGCGCCTGCCTGGCAAGCACAAGATCCAGAGGTTGATCCTTGGTACCACCAAGAAAAAAAAAAAAAAAAAAAAGAAAAGAAAAAAATCTAATTTTTATTCTTTGCAGAGATTTGCCCCAGATCTGTCAGGGTTTTCCTGCCTGCACTTTTTCCTCAAGGTCTCGTTGTTGCTTTTTCCAGCCAGTTTTGATATTAATATTTTTATTATTTTTTCCATAATTTTATTGAGAAATAAATAGCAATGAGACAGTTTCAAACCAAATTGGTAGGACAGTTTCAATAATTGACACATTAATGTTTTTTTTTAAATTTATTTATTTGTGTGTGTGTGTGTGTGTGTGTGTGGCCAGCTCAGCCCACCAGGGGCCGGGGCTGGCTGGCATGTGGTGCTGGGGGATTGAACCGCGGTCCCTGTGCGTTGCTAAGCTTATTCTAAGTAGGTGCTTTAGACCACTGAGCCATCTCACCAGCCCCCACATTAATGTTTTTATTATTGCTTTTGATTTTTTTATAGGAGTTAAAGAATCTTTTATTTATGTATTTGGTACAGGGCCTCATGATGCAGCCCCGACTCACAGTGCCCCTCCTGCTCAGCCTCCCCAGCGCTGGGATTGCAGGTGCGCACCACCAGGGCCCGTTGCAGGGGCTGGCACTGTGTGCCTGGGTTCTGGGGCCTGCATGGCCTGCAGGCCTGGGGATTGAACTCAGGTCCTTGCCTTAACAGGCAGGTGCTTAGGCCTCTGAGCTATCTCCCCAGCTGCTTTCTTCTGATTTACAGTTTCTTTTTAATTACAACTTCTCAAGTTGTTCATGTTTGCTGAGCATAATGATTACACTCATTGTGAGGAACCGGCCTG